GGGCAAATGAAAAGTGTAACCGGGGTAAAAAGGGTGTTATCTTTACTTAATTATGAATGTTGTTACATCAAGGCTGAAAATTAGGATGAGCGCAAACAGTCAAAAAGGGTTTTTTCCCTCCCGGAGCTGCCAGTGCAGCCCCCCCCCCAAGAACTTGCTTAATTTGTTATCACAATTACTAATGTCATGTTTTTTTTTATTCTTGAAGAGAATGTCTTTTTTTCTGGCATTCTTCCAGCATTAACAAAAATAAGAATAACATTGAGAAAAATCTTTGAAGTAAATGGCTGTTGTTAAACGCTTCCCACATTTACTTCAATCGTTCAGTAGAAAAGATAAAAGTATCCCAGCAATACACAATAGAATATATAAAGAATAAATGAAAAATCTCTTCAAAAGACAAATACACTCCAAAAACTGAAACTTATTGGCATAGGTAATATACATCAAAAAGGCTTCAAATGTATTCAGTATTGTATGAACATGTTTTAATTGGGGTGTGGACGTCACATCCTGTAGGGGGGTCCGGGGGTATGCCCCCCCGGGAAGAAATGTTTGAAAATGTAAAGTAAAATGCTTCAATCTGGTGCACTTTAAGCACACATTACTAGAGACTAGATCTAGGGGGTACAACTCTAAACACCCATATTAAAAAGATCGGTTTACATTTTAATAACCAAATATGTGAACATAACCTATAACCTACCATAGCCAATAACAAATAAATATAACTTATTTTATTTTTGTTGTTCATTCATATCTTATTTTACCTAGTTAAAATGTATTTATGCATATTTTTATATCTCTCAAGTTTTAAACGATATTTCTGGTTTACTGTCCTATAGTATACATTGAAATGATTTCAAACCTGTTTATCCAAATAATTATAAAGGAGTGCCTTGGAAATATTTGTTCACATAAATTGCATTTATCTCTCTCGCTCGCTCCCACGCCCACTTTGGCTGTGAGCTGCGGGCGCCTGATAAGCCAACACCCCCCACTTCATCACTTACAGCGCCCATCGTACAGGGCAAATGAAAAGTGTAACCGGGGTGAAAAGGGTGTTACCTTTACTTAATTATGAATGTTGTTACATCAAGGCTGAAAATTAGGATGAGCGCAAACAGTCAAAAAGGTTTTTTTCCCCCCCAGATCTGGCGCCCTAGGCGACCGCCTATGTCGCCTATGCCAAAAACCGGCCCTGTACACCATGCTAAATGTATGTCTGCATAAAGCTGAGTTATGAGCAGTCATAATAACACAGAATTTGGTGATGATTAAATAGTTTACAGTGAGATTTACTTTTGGCCATACTCACGCAGCCCTACAAATGAATTGAGATTTCCACACAAATGTTCTTTAGCAAGTGTGCAGAGTAGTGTTGATTTAAAAAAGCAATTTGAAGGTTGGATATTTGTAAACCTTTTTTTGTGTATATATATTAATAATTTAAGATGTAAATGAATTCCAGTTTATTTGTAGTACTTTCTATTTTTATTGTGACATTTGGTGGCATCAATGTGTGCATTTGATACAGATAATGGAGCAGTTGCTTTAGGGCCACAGTGTATATCCCTTAAGGTCAAATAATGAGATCCTCGACCTCCGCCCCCCTCTCGCACCTCCATACAGAGCCCCCCCACATATCAAATCCCAATTTAACCCCTGCATATGACGCACACCTGCACACTTGCTAGCCTGTTCCACTCTTCGTTTTCCGAATGCCAGGAAGGATTCTTGCCTAGCTTCTGAAGGAAGTGACTCGGAAGACATGTGCTACCAAGCAAGCTTGCTCTGTACACTCCCCCTTTAGTTTACCATCGCAGTCTTCTTAGCAGCGTAATGCCTCTGTGTGTCAGTGACAGCCAGGTATATGTAACCTGAGCTGTGTTCATGAACAGCGAACATTTCCACTCGGAGTTTTCCTTCTTCAGCTTATGCCGCGTTTCCACTACACAGCCTCGCTCGGCCCCGCTCGGCCTCCTTTGGCCGCGCCCGGCCTCGTTAGGACCAGCTCACTTTGTGGCGCGTTTCCATTACAGTTTAGGAACCGGGTCAGTATCTATAGTAACAGTGTAGGCGGAGCGACGCTGCTTAAAACTGCCGTGACGTCATCTTCAATGCGACACAACAATGGAGATGTGAAAGCGATCGTTTGCTTGTTTTTTGCTGTGTGGTTTATTATCACAAGAAATAGACAAGAGTTGTTTCGAAAGAGGCGACGTATAGCAAGACGAGGTATAGAAGAAGCTGACGCGAGAGTTCGGGCAGTCCTCCTACGCCGCAGAGACTACAGGTGGACTCGAATCACTACTAACTACAATGCTACTTGGTAAGCTAACGTTCGCTAACTAGCAATGTGTTTAGGCTCACTCTCCCTATACGACCAAAGTATTTCAAGTATTTAATTAATTGTAGCTACCACTTTTACGTATTAAAATATGTATGCTTTTGTTTGTGTATTTCAGAAGTTACCGACCGAGCTACCGAGTGGTGGAATGTGATTGTTCCATCTTTCACACACTCAGTGGGTGGAGAACTTCAGGATGCCTGAGGAAAACCTACGTGTAATACCTAAATATTCATTGTATTGTATTGAACATAAATACATCTTTTCTTTTTCACATACATGTGTTTGTCAAATTATTTAAACCAAAAAAATGTTATCAGAATAGACTATTTAGTAAATATTTGAATTTCAAGCACCAGTACTGCCCCCATAATAATAATCTAATAAATTAAGCAAATATCAAAGCAAACTATAAACATAAATACAAAAGTGTAAAACACAACAGAACTATATTCATAAATGCAAGTGTAAAAAATTGTTAACATGGATGGAGGCTAAAGTATCCACAGCATAAAATAATATGATTATGATGGTTTGTCTGAAAGACACAGCCTCAAGGTTCAAGGTTTTTTATTTTGTCATACGAACATAGCTAGTGTAGTTATGACAATGAACATCTTAGGTCACAGGCTCCTCCAACAGTGCAACACAATAACCCAGATCAACAGAAATATAGTGCAAGTAAATATTAAGCGCTGTGCACCGCTCTCTTTGTATAGGTGTTTTCTTTTGTTCTCTTCTCTTTGAAATATATAAGCAATGTGTTTGAGTCTAGCACAACGAGGGTATTACAATTGAGTAATTTTTCTACATGTATTTATCATGTATTCTTAATACCATTATGTAATGTTATGTTTTAGAGGAGGACCTCAAGCTAGCAAACTCAATTTCAAACAGTATGCAGAGTTGTCCTGCTAAAGAGTTAAAATGTATTATTTAACCAAGTATTTATTCTCTTATTTGCTTTAATTGCAACAGATGATAAAGGTTTCACTGTGATAAGTATTCTCTTAAATCCATAAACCCCTGTACAGTGCTTTGTGGACGATGGTGTTTATGATATTTCTGACTGCAGAGGGACGCCTAGATGATGCCATCTTTCTGTGCGATCGCTGGTGGGTGCAATTATTTATCAACAAGCAATAAGATAAGACATGGCATTGATTCTGCTGGGCCAGTTGCCGTTCCTGCAGGGCCAGATCCTCTCCTCCTCGGTTTGTGCTGTTGATGCAGAGGACGTTGTTCGGAACTGTTCCTCCTCGCTAGTCCCAATGTAATCATCTAGAACAGAAACATGACTTGTAAATTCCACAAACTACTGCAGCACAATACTATAAATAGCAACAACAACTATAGAAAAGACAAACTGAACGTAAACAATGGCACATATGGTGTTAGCAAACAATAGCTCTCGCTAATGCTATCTGCCTAGCTAGCCTTCGGGGCTCCATCGGGGTTGTCGAACATAAATGTAAGGATAAAATAGACTTATTTGTTAGAAGTGAGCTTTAAAACAGATAGGGACACAAAGCAGGGACACAAAGCTTTCAAGCAAATAACACAGCGTTAGCAAAAACGTACCATGCAGACTCCAGTAACGCCGTTGGAGAGTCCAGTGTCTGTGTAGAGACCTCCTGAAAGACTTTGATATTGCGAGTTGTCCCGTCGAGCACCCGCTGGACCTTATCATCTGCAATATAATGGACGTCGTCACTTCCTCGACCGACCATGGTGTGCTTTTCTTTGCCATTGTTGTAGCTCCTCCGTTAACAAAAATGCTGTTTGTAAAAATGGATTATCTCGCGCGCAGATTGTGACGATTCTCTCCGACCAATCAGTAGCCGAGAGCGTTGACGTCACAAACACAGCCCGGTTGTCTTTGGCCCTGGCCCCACGATTTTATGAGGCCAGAAAAACTGAGAATTAGGACCAGCCGGCCGGTACTAGGCCAAGTGGAAACGCAACCACAAACGGGCCGCTGACGTCACAGCCCTCTTAAACCGGGCTGCGCGCTGTAGTGGAAACGCAAAAGCCTTGTTAATATAGTCAGATCTACGGAAATGAAGAACTAAAACCTTTTTTTGAGCAGAACCAGTAGGCTACATTAAGAATGCAAGGGAAAAGTCTGTACACGATAAAAAGCAATAAAGAATTGTTCTAATTCATAATAAATATCACAGCAGGACGTTGGGTGCCTTTATTTTTGAAGGGTATTTTGTTGCTCTCATGAAAAGCAGACTTCTGGTCACGTGTCTGTCTGTGTGTAAGGTGCACGAACTACTTATACCAGCAGGTGGCAGCAGAGTTAAAGAAAGTGTTCAACTAAAGGCCATTTTTAAAAATATAAATACAGAGGTTGAAGAAATCCTGCATTCCTATTGTACTCAAGTAAAACTAGTACGAAAAATATACTTAAAATACCCCAAATAAAGTACTCATATACTATAGTATGCATTCCACCTGGGGGACACAAAGGGTTAAAGGGAAAAAGTATAGGAAACAGTGGTTAAAGATTATAATGATGGTTTTCAAAACGCCTCACACACACAAGTCCTTGCCATGCCAACATACAGTCTGGAGGAGCCCGGCTTCCTGGTGGGGTATTGCGGCGTCTTCAGTGTGCACACTCTTTATTGTGTCCGTTACTCACCGTTTGAAGCAGTTGTTCCTTTAATCTCTTGTTCCTTTGCCGTTTGTTTGCTGCATGTAGTTGTTAAAAATAGTCCCTGTGAGCAGACTAGAGCCGTTAGTTAAAATCATAGACTGTATATAAAATGCACATAGTCAACACATTAGTGTGTCCACTGTCTTGCCCAATCATGAGTTATTTCAAATGTATCATTTTTCAACTGTCCAACTGTCCATCAAATATCCAAACTAGTGATGGGAATTCCGGCTCTTCTTGGTGAGCCGGATCATTTGGCTCGGCTCACCAAGAAGAGCCGGCTCTTTCGGCTCCCAAACGGCTCTTCAGTTTACCACATATTATACCTTTTATAATTCAATCAAATGTAGCCCTGTTTTGACTAGTGATTTATATGTGTACACATATCACTTAAATTATTCAATACATCCTTTGTACTGAAGTATTCAAAAGTAAAAATTACATGTTTAATATCAATTATTTGCTGTGGCCAATTGTTTTCATTGCATTTACAGTATCTCTCTGATACCACACCCAATGAATGCACAGACTTGCTTGTAGAACCACGATACACAAAGCAAATAGCAACACCTATAAAAACGTAAGCATCGACATTTTAAAATTATATTTAAAGAAAAGGCCCTGACAAAACAGCAGGGCTCTATTTCAGTATTAACTATAGAAAAAAAGACAGCAACAGCTGACATCAAATCTTTGCTGAGCCCAAGGATAATCATAAATAAATAACATAGTGAAAAAAAAAATATTGCAATGCTCAGTACAGCAGCATCCAACCGTCTCTAATCATAAAAAAAACATAATACAAATAAATGTATTGCAATGCTCAAAACAGCAGCATCCAACAGTCTCTAATCCTTGGATATTACATGCCACTGCATGCATGCACGCACGGAGCAGCTGTAGCGCGGAGATCATCATATCATTCTGTCTTGTATTACTTTAAAAATAACAAAAACAAAAAAACGGCTCGTTCGCGGGCGCGAGCCGGCTCCCGTCGTTCACTTAAAAGAGCCGGCTCCTTGAGCCGGCTCGTTCGCGACCGACACATCACTAATCCAAACTACCCTTTTCACCTCTGGCTGCTGTGGAGGATGGATGTGTCAGCGGAGGAGAGTCTAACACTAGGTAAGTTATTACAGAAACAAAACGTTTTTAACAAAGTGAGCAGATATATTGTCATAATGTGAGCAAGCTAGGGGTCTAAATAAATATTTTTTAACTTAAATAAATATGTTTTGCTAATGTTGAACAGCTACATATTGTTTGAGTTCAGCTGCCTGGATGACAATTATTTTCCTTTAGGCCCATCTTCTTTTTTTATTATATTTATTTTAACTTAATTTAGCTTACACTCTTTTCTGTGACCATCATTCTTCAATCGGCATTATATAGATAGCATTAGCAGCTATATGTTTAATGCTATCTTAGCTACTTTGGCTAGGTTTCATTGTTCGGCCAGATGTGGCGGGAAAGTGAGAGTGAGAAGACCGACAGAGGCTGCGTTAATATACAGTCTCTTACAGTGCAAATAAGTAACTCGGCACTAAAGTTATTTATTAGTAGTACTAGTAGCCACTACTCTATACTTGCAAATATTATATTGTGTAGAAGGGAGATTTCATATATGCCTCTTGTCGCTACGGCAGTTGAGACGCAGCGTCACGCACGGCACGTCAGCCAGGCCTTCCCTTCCGACGATTTGATTGGTCGGAAGGGAAGGGCCGGCGGGCTTTCCTTCCGACCAATCAAATCGTATCACAGCACACTGCGGGTGTAGTATAGAATGGCGAAGTCACGCCCACTTACTTCCGGGTAATGGGACCTTATTTCGGAAAAATTATGCATTGAAGTCAATGGGGAGAGAAAACTTATCTTTCGATCCCGTTTGAATTGTGCCATGAATTACACATATGATGTTTGTCAATCTTAAAAAATAATTTCCATGTCAAAAAAGTCACAGTTTGTCGTAAAACTGTTGAAATATAAGACTATGAAAAATACGTAACTAGAAAGACTACAAATCCCAGAGTCGCGTAAGTGATGTCACAATTGTTTTCCTCCAGCATTCAGATACCTAAGATCAGCGCAATATAGATATAATCTATCTATATGGCGCTGGCTAAGATAAGATAACTTTCACAAGATGCCTGTGTGCTTAGTACCACGTTGTTATTATACCAGCAATGGGTCTTGCTCGTTATTTTGCTTCCCGTCTGATGAAAGGACCAGGAGTACTCTGGATCAAGCTAGCTAGTAGCTAGCACGTTAGTTAGCATTACAGCCTTGTCATTTTGATTAGCCTTAACATGAAGTAACATTAAGTAACCCAAAATGTTAAACAGTAAGAGTAGTAGTCATATTTCGTGAACCCTTTGAAGAGTACTGTCACCGGTGTGATCATTCTATAATACACCATTTAAGCCCGGGGGAGAAATGCTAACGCTAACGTTAGCATCGGCGATCTTCTCTACTTCATGCTATCTGCACAAATGGTTGACATTAAACATTAAAACGACCAGGCAGTTCAGAGAGAATCAAAGGAAGGCAGGCAGGCAGCTTTGCATGACATTCTTCAGGACGTGTTTCATTGTGGTGATAGTGAGGATAGTCAATCGTAGTGTTGACAAGACAGTAGTGACGGCCATCTTGGTGACGTGTGTTGTTGACCAGAGAGATGTAGTTCATTGAGCGTTTCACACAAACAAATGTGTTACTTCACAGTTTTAGGACACATTTTTTTTTTTTGACTTGCAAAATGATCTTTTAAATTGACAAACATCATATGTGTAATTCGTGGCACAATTCAAACGGGATCGAAAGATAATCTTTCTCTTTCCATTGACTTCAATGCATAACTTTTCCGAAATAAGGTCCCATGGGGCTCAACCGGAAGGGGAGGGACTTCGCCACTCTATTGTGAGTGTAGCGTGCAATACTATGTTTCACCACAGATTAATTAAGAGGGGCGCTGTTTCAGTCTTTGTAAAATACTCACTGACAACAGCGGAGAGATGTTTTTTAATACAAATAAAAAATATAAAGAAATACCCAGCCTCCAGGAGAAAACGCCACAGGAGGCTGAGCAGAATCTTCCCTGTGCTTCTCTAGAAGTTGTCTTTATGGGTGAAGTTAATTAACTTAAAATGACCATACTGCTTATAACTTATATAAGGTGTGTATTAATGGGTTTAACTAGAAGATGATAGATGATGGCATTTAATTTAATCTGGCATAATATGATTAGTCAACAGGATGAATTTGTTTATTAAATAGTTCTTTAATGGGATTTTAGCCGCAGCACTACACCTTTTTACATTAGTTAAGTGTTTGCTTATTTTACTTATTGTTCTTTTAATCATGAAAGAGATCAGTTGGTCGTTTTTCCATTTTCCAGTGAAGGCGTTTTTGTTTCATTAGTTTTCTAAAGATCCCATTGTTTATGAGACAACAAGAGAAAGACCCTCCAGGGTGCGTACGGGTGCTGGAAATCCTTGAAAATGCTTGAAATTGTACGAGGTGTTTTCAAGGTTTGAAAAGTGCTTGAATTTTGGGAATGGTGCTTGAATTTGGGATAAAGTGCTTGAAATTGTAAATGCTTTACTTCGCTTTTTAGATTAAAAAAAATAAAGAAGTCAGAGCGCGCTTAATTGCTTCGCTTTTACATAAAACAGCTCCGCTCTGGCCTTCCCGCGCAATGCGCGTGACCGGCAAGTGTTTTTGTTACGTGTGTGACCTGGGCATTCTGATGAGAGTGATAGATGACAGTATGCCAGGAGGTTGCCGTTTCAACGAGCGTTGGCTAGCAGAAGACAAATACAAGCCATGGCTAAGACGAGGGTCAAGCAAAGCCCAAGAGTAGCCTCCTGCAAAGTGTGCAACAATAACGATGCGAGAGTCTGCGCTGACGAGCCACACACCACACGAAAGGTACGCCGTAGTAGAGCATTTTTGATTAGGCTATCGTTGCATGTAAAATACATGACACTTTTAACTGTGCGCGGCAAAACAAGCTCGCCAAAATGGCTTCACTAGTCTGGCAGTATTTTAAGTGTCCGAAAATGACAATAAAATAGCGGTATGCAACGTGTGTGTGAAGCAGAAATCCTGCAGCTCCACCCGCTGTGACGGACCGGTGAGCGAAGCAGAACACACATTAAGAGTTAGACCTAACACACTTAGCTATTTTATCTACCTCTGGAACAAGCTGATTCCGGCGATCGGCCCCAAAATTGGCGATCGGAGCATCCCTAATAATTGTATATGATATGTTTTATAATGATTGATCATTAAAGTGTTCTCAAAGCTGGTAAAGGTGCAGCTAGTTTGAATGACTTTGTATACTGCAGGGTAGCTTGTGAATTTACTCCAGGTGGAACTAAAGTCTGATTTAACACTTGATTAGATTTCACATCATTCATCCACATCTGTAAAGTAACTAAAGATATTAAATACATGTAGTGGGGTCAAAGTAAACCATTTACCTCTGACTTGTGTTTACTGCCAACCTAAAAGTACCTCAAAAATAGTATTGAAAAGTTATTTGGCTGATTGTTTTATATTGGCTCAGCCAGGTTATATGGGATGCCCAGTCTACGTACAGATGGGTCACTCATTTTGAAATATTAAATTGAGTTTTATTTTCTAAAAATTTAAATTGTTCATCCTCATGTAGAATGCTATTATGAAACACACATTTGGTTGTTTATAGCATAAAGAACATCAGATGTGAGGCAGGGAAATAATCATTTGAGTATAAGTATGTGTATATAAATATGTAATTTACAACAGCTGTAAGATGCTTGAAAAGCTTGAAAATCCACCTTGAAAATGCTTGAAAAGTGCTTGAATTTGACTTTGGAAAAGGTGTAAGAACCCTGACCCTCGCATATTATGTTAAGTTTCTGAAACATTGCTTTATTTTCATCTCTTATTGATTTATAATTGAATGTCATTTACTTTAGATGTAAAGAAAACAATCCTGTTATCTAAATGTTAGGATGATGACATTGTCAATCAGACTCAGATTCAGGTTTATTATCAGGTTAAGAAATTGAGTTTGACACCCCAGGCCTAAAATAACTTTT